TTAGGTTTATGGAGAATATACATAAAGGTATATGAAAGATGCACTCTCTTCAATTGATCTGCAGTTTCTTCCAAGTGTTAATACTAATGCTGGCGGATCTCCAGAAACTTATTCGCCGTTATTCAGCAGATTTACCCTGTTGAAAATCTAGAATATCTTTTTCTATGTATATCCCATGATCTCTGCTATATCCCATGATTTCTGCTCTATTTTAGGATAGAATAATTTACTCCTAATGTATTTTAGGATAGAATAAATTAGCTCCTAATTTTTAGGAAATTACAGATTTCATGGAATTGACAAAAGTCAATTCCATTTGTATAAATGTTGTACAGAGTCTAGAACAAGATATGACAGAACAATTCAGTTTTCTTTTTGTTCATGGTATCAGAGCTTTTGCTCTTGGGACCTCTTCTTGTCAGCCTTCATTGCTGAGTGCTTTCCTCTCTTCAAGTCTTTATTGCCAAGTGCAATTTCCAGCCTTCATTGCTGATATTTTTCATTAGGCCTTCATTGCCAATTTTTCTTTGAAACCTCCAACATGTCTGAAACTGAAACATCAGAAATCCACTCCAATACCAAATCAGAAGAGACCTCAAATATTCCACAAACAGGGGATTTGCAGAGTATCCAGGCAGCCTACAGGCTCAACGGGAAAAACTATTTGAAGTGGTCACAATTTGTTCAAACATTTCTCAAAGGAAAGGGCAAAATCAGCCACTTGCTTGGAACTGGACCGAAAAAGGGAGATCCTAAATTCGCTGCTTGGGATGAAGAGGATTCTATGGTCATGTCATGGCTGTGGAACTCCATGTTACCTGAAATAAGCGATACTTGCATGTTCCTATCAACAGCTCAAGATATATGGTCTACTATTCGACAGACCTATTCAAAGGCAGGAGATGCTGCCCTAATCTATGAGATCAAAACAAAGATCTCAGCCACTAAACAGGGCAACTTTCTGTTACTCAATATGCCAACCTTTGCAAAATCTATGGCAGGAACTGGACCAATATCGGTGTTTCAGATGTTGTGTAGTGAAGATGCAGCCACCTTGAAAAACTTTATCGAAAAGGATAGAGTTTATGACTTCCTTGCAGGTCTGAATGTGGAATTTGATCAGGTCAGAGTCCAGATATTGGGGAAGGAAAGATTATCATCTCTGAATGAGACAATATCATTGATTCGAGCTGAAGAGAATAGGCGAGAAGTCATGTTAGAGCCTAAAACATTAGAAGGCTCGCAATGATTTCTACAAAGTCAAATAAAGACACAATTTGGTGCACGTACTGCAAAAAATCACGCCATACGCGAGATGATTGCTTCAAACTCCATGGGAAGGAACAAGTCCTTAGTCGTAAAGGAGGATTCAAAGGGGAAAAGCCCACTTAACTGCTGGAGAAGACCAAACACAAGAAAAATCCAACCAGACTGGTATGGGAGAATTCAAGAAAGAAGAAATCGAAAAGCTAAGAAACCTCCTAAATTCCCTTGAAAAGTCCTCTAGTACGTGTTCATTGGCTCAATCAGGTAAGTACCTTAACTCTTATGCTTTAAGTGCCTCAAGCATGTCTTCTCTAGGCTCTTGGGTCATCGACTCAGGAGCTACTGACCATATGACTCACAGCCCAATCAGATTTAGAACATACAACCCATGTCCTGGAAATAGAAAAATTACTGTTGCGGATGGATCTCCTATAACTGTTGCAGGCCAAGGGACAGTAAATCTATCAAATTCTTTGTCCCTAAATAATGTGTTGCATGTCCCAAAATTGTCCTCCAATCTCATATCCATCCATCAAATTACCAAAGATCTGAACTGTAGAGTAATTTTCTATACTACTCACTGTGTTTTTCAGGATTTGGTTACGGGGAGGACGATTGGACTTGCTAAGGTGAATGACGGGCTTTATTACCTTGAGGAGATGAGTGGCAACAAGAAGAACAAAAATCAGTTATCCCTCACCTGCTCCTCAAATAATAAATCTGAAATTTGGCTTCATCATTTCCGTCTTGGTCATCCATCTTTTATGCTACTTAAAAGCATGTTTCCTTCACTTTTCAAGAATGAAGATGTTAGTAGTTTTCCATTGTGATACATGTGAAATTGCTAAACATCATAGACTATCATTTCCATTGAGTAATACAAGATCTACTAGACCTTTCTCTTTGATACATACTGATATTTGGGGGCCTTGTAGAATTTCTAGTATTTCTGGAGCAAAATGGTTTGTCACATTCATTGATGATTGTACTAGAACTACTTGGTTATTTCTTATGAAAGAAAAATCAGAAGTAAGCAGTATTTTTCCAATGTTTCATAAAATGATTTGTACACAATTTGGAAGTTTGATTAAAAGAGTAAGATCTGATAATGCAAGAGACTATTTTAATCAAATTCTCTCATCTTTTTTCCAAAAAGAGGGTATAATACATGAGTCATCTTGTGTAGATACACCCCAACAAAATGGGATTGCTGAACGAAAAAATAGACATTTACTCAATGTGACTCGAGCAATTTTGTTTCAACATAAAGTTCCAAAAACTTTTTGGGGGGAGGCTGTTTTAACTGCTGCACATTTGATAAATAGAGTACCTTCAAAAGTACTAAATAATCAAAGTCCCATTGCTGCTCTTTCTGTTTTTACCCTGATTTTAATGTCTCTTGCACATTGTCACCAAAGTGTTTGGTTGTGTTGCTTTTGTACATGTTCATGCACACCAAAGAGGGAAACTTGATCCAAGAGCTTTAAAATGTATTTTTGTGGGATACTCAAACACAAAGAAAGGATATAAGTGTTATCATCCTCCTTCAAAAAAATTTTTTACCTCCATGGATGTCACATTTGTTGAAAATGAACCTTACTCTCAAAGTAACAATCCTCATCCCCAGGGGGAGAGTTCTTGGGAAGATAAGGAATTTCTCCTTGATCTTCAAAGTTCTACACTAAACTTAAAGTCTTTCAAGCCGACCATACACCAAATTCTAAAGGAGAACATACTAGCAGTGAACCTGAACCTGAATTTGAAGTTGAACATGCCAGTAAAGAAATTGAACCTGATCTTGGAGTGAGGGAAAATCTGGTTTAAATCCAACTACACCACTCAAGGTCTACTCAAGGAAGAAAGTTCATATTTCTGAACCTGTGCAAATCCAAGAATCTGAACCACAATCAGGTACTGAAAATTCTGTTCCTTTGTGTGTTCAATCTGACTCTGCTCCTTGTGAATTTAATGATTTAGACCTGCCTATTGCTGTTCGAAAAGGAACACGAGAATGCACTAAGCATCCAATCTCAAATTTCGTGTCTTTCCATAGATTCTCTCCACAACATAAAACTTTCCTTACCACCATCAACTCTATTTCAATCCACAAACACTACAAGAGGCACTTAGAAATAAGAATTGGTTACATGCTATGAAAGAGGAGATGAATGCCCTAGAGAGAAATAAGACTTGGGAAATTGTAAACCTACCCAAAGGAAAGAAAACAGTGGGGTGTAAATGGGTGTTTACTTTGAAATATAGAGCTGATGGTTCATTAGAAAGGCATAAAGCTCGGTTGGTCGCAAAAGGATATACACAGACATATGGGATAGATTACCAAGAGACCTTTGCACCCGTTGCAAAAATGAATACTGTGCGTGTTCTTTTGTCTTTAGCCGCTAACTTTGGTTGGTGTTTACAGCAATTTGATGTGAAGAATGCATTCTTACATGGGGATTTAGAAGAAGAGGTGTACATGGAACCTCCACCGGGTTTCAATGAAATGTTTTTTGAAAAGAAAGTGTGCAGGTTAAAGAAAGCTTTATATGGATTAAAACAATCGCCAAGGGCTTGGTTCGGAAGATTTACTAAAGTGATGTTAGCAATGCAATACAAACAAAGTCAAGGAGATCATACTTTGTTCATAAAACATTCAAAAGGAGGTGTTACAGCTCTACTTGTATATGTAGATGACATCATCATCACGGGAATGATCCAATTGAAAGAGAAACACTCAAAAAGTGCTTAGCAAAGGAGTTTGAAATTAAAGAACTAGGGAGGCTGAAGTATTTTTTAGGCATTGAGGTGGCATACTCAAGAAAGGCATCTTTGTTTCCCAACAAAAGTATGTCTTAGACTTGCTTAAAGAAACAGGCAATCTTGGATGCAAGGCAGCAAGCACACCCATTGAGCCTAACTTGAGATTGAATGAAGAAGGATGATAGCACAGTAGATAAGGGAAGATATCAGCGGTTGGTTGGGAAACTGATATACTTGTCCCATACAAGGCCGGACATAGCATTTGCTGTAAGTGTAGTAAGCCAATTTATGCATGATCCAAGAGAGAAACACTTGCAGGCTGTCAATAGAATTCTATCCTACCTCAAAGGGACACCGGGTAGAGGAATTTTGTTCAAGAAAAATGAAGGATTGCTCATAGAGGCTTATACTGATGCTGATTATGCAGGTTCTGTTGTAGATCGTAGATCAACTTCAGGATATTGTACATTCTTGGTGGGAACCTAGTGACATGGAGGAGTAAGAAGCAATCGGTTGTTGCAAGATCAAGTGCTGAAGCAGAGTTTAGAGCTATGGCTCATGGAGTTTGTGAATTGCTATGGCTCAAAATAATACTTGATGATCTTAAAATCAAGAGTGAAGGACCTATGAAACTCTATTGCGACAACAAGTCTGCCATCAACATTGCACACAATCCAGTGCAACATGATCGCACAAAGCACATCGAAGTTGATAGACATTTTATTAAAGAAAAGCTGGACAGTGGCATGATTTGCACTCCATATGTAGCATCAAATAATCAATTGGCAGATGTCTTAACTAAGGGAATGCCAACTTCCAACTTTGAAAGACATTACATGCAAGATGGGAATGGAAAAATATCTATTCACCATCTTGAGGGGGAGTGTTGAAAATCTAGAATATCTTTTCTCTGTATATCCCATGATCTCTGCTATATCCCATGATTTCTGCTCTATTTAGGATAGAATAATTTACTCCTAATGTATTTTAGGATAGAATAAATTAGCTCCTAATTTTTAGGAAATTACAGATTTCATGGAATTGACAAAAGTCCAATTCCATTTGTATAAATGTTGTACAGAGTCTAGAACAAGAGAGATGACAGAACAATTCAGTTTTCTTTTTTTGTTCACCTGATATCTGATGGTATTAGGAATACCTAAGGAAGAACCTATAGATAATCTGCCAGTTGAATTTCTTAACGATCTTTTGCAGGAACAAACACAAGATCACCTTGTGGATCATCTGATCAGAAAACTGTTCCTCAACATTGAAAAAGCTTCCTGCCATGATGACAGGGGCAAAACCCACCAACTACCAAGAATTCCAAGAAGAGTGAGATTCTGATCACTCAATTCAACCCTAGCCAAACACAGAAACATGTAGTCTTCAACTTCGACCTTCTTCGCATAACATGGCTGCAGAGCAACAGACAAAATTAGAAGGATTAAAACCATAAACTTGACACAAGACTTTGTCGAAATCACAAGTGAATGAAATTTTGTGAAGCAGAAAAATCTAGCTCTTATAAATGCTTCCAAATTGTCCATTAACTTCCTTGAAGTACAGTCACTTGAACTTTCCCAAAGGGTTATTTACTTGAGAAAGTCTCAATACAATACAAGCATGACAAACAAGAAGAAGGCAGTTTCGTGTTGTCTCTGTTATTTGTTTCTCCCATAAAAAAGGAACCTAGCCCAACATAAGTTCTTTAATACATATCTTCTCATCCAATTAAGTTTTTTATCTTCAAAACCTTACATGCCTCATGATAAAGATTAAGTACACATGACACTCATATGAGAGATACTTGTAAATATACCAAAACCTCATTTATGACCATCAACACAAAGCACTGAATAGGACGAAATCCAAACTAACACTTCAAGAACATGTTAAACATGGACAACATGGGTGAATGAAACTAATAAAGCATCGCTCCTGATGGCTCTGACACTTCACATATATAAACCAGTGAATCTCCAATATTGCATATAAAATTATTTGATAACATAACTAAAGTAGGGGTTTCAATTATTCAACAGGAGGAATAAACTGACCATAATTTTGTAGATGAAGGGGTGTTGGCGTATAGCTTGATGTCGTAACTGAGATTGATAAAGGTAAGTCAATATACAAATCCATAATGTAAAAGATAAAATATAGATATTAACAGCAAGCTTCAAAGTCATATATAGGCTTTTCAGAGACTGACAAATTGTCTTTGAATGGCTTCTCGAACCTTTGCAGATTAAAATCACCAAATTTTGGTTCCAATGCCAGTAAGATACAATCAATTGAGGTCTAAAGCTGTATACCTCAAAACTTCCTTTCATTTTGTGCTGTTGCCTATCCAAATACAGGTGGCTAGTGTGCAATTTCATTTTTGTCATTTAATTCAAAAAGTACTTCCCCAATACAAAATCTTAAAATCAATGAGTTAAAAATCTGTTTCTTTCAACTATAATAATTTTCCCTGTTCAGAATATGATTCCAGCATCAAGGATCTAGAAATAAACGTATGTTTAATTTGTTCAAGTTGAAGAGAGCTGGTTGTAACAGCATAAAAGTTGCCCAACTTCAAACTGCTGTGTTAAGATCGGCTAATCATGTAACAGAACCTTACATCAAATTGGGTTCATACATCAGTTCAATCTATTATAGGTATTAAGCTACCAGCCTATTAATCTGCACAAAAGAATTTTAAACTTTTACAAGTAGTAATTGTAGCATCCATCCCCAAGTGAATGAATTAGAGGGTTATAGATATTGTAACCACAGAATAGGAAGGGGGACAGCTTTTAACTTCAACCCAACATGAAAAATGAAAGAATCCTATCTAAAACAGATTAAGAAAGATTATGTGCAAACCTGTTCGACAAAAGATAAACAGAGAAAGGGCTAGGCTTTGTAGTATACAGAATAAGAGTGACTTTTGCAGCAATTACACCAGGATGGCCCCAGTTCATCAAAACAGTTAATAAGAAGAAAACAGGCACCATCAGTCTTCTTAGAATGGTCAATAAAGCGCGACGATCTTCGTCAGAATCTGAAGAATCTAACTTGTCAAACTCATGATCATCCACTGAAAACTCAAAACCTGAATTGGATTGCAGTATTACGAACTTTTTCGACTAAGAAAATGGTAAATAAGATCCTTCAGCATCTGCTACTTGCTAAATTTGAAATAAACAACCGGTTGAATTTTACAGTATTTTGTTTTCACTTTTAGGAAATATGGTTCTCACCATCTGTACAATACGCAATGCGTGGCCAAATGCTGATTGATCCAACTACCAGTGACAATCCAAAGATAGTACGCACAGTAAATTTACCCCCTGAAAAGAAGCAAGAAGGAAATTAAACTTTTGGGAAACACATATACTTGACATAAAGAGGAGGCAGTTCACTTGATCAATAAACTCAAGCACAAAATTTACATACCAAAGCTAGAAATAATAATAGTAATACAGACTACAAGAAAGTCATGTTGCTCTGACATTTTTGTTGTGAAATTTAATACTTTGGTTGAAAATTACCATGTCACTCGCTATCACACAGAATGCTCAGATTGTGCCCATCTTCTCAAATCCAGTAAAAATCAAAAGAGATAAATTACAGACATTTTAGCAGGTAACAAGTTTGCCTTGATTGCTCACCAACATCATACCATCGGTATTGTACTATGCTAATTCTTGTCTAATATTTGTTGAGAGAGGACAGAAAGTCTAAAAACATGTGCAACCTAACACAATATTCTGACTTAACCACGTGCAAATGCTCCAACAAATGAAGCTCAAAGAACCACTTATATACTGGGAAAATCTAAGTGATACTTCTTGCCAATTCAAAATTTTTGAATTTTGAGACGAAAAAGATACATACTTGAAGAATCACAATATTTCCAGACCAACAGTATATATTGACGTCGTATTAACTTCTCTTTAGTCCCTTATCCTTATACACGACCAAACGTAATCATTCCAAAAAGACTGGTTTACATTGCAATGTAGTAGAGCTAAACATGAGAAGATAGAGAACAATATGCTCATATGTCCAGAAGGGAACCTTTTAATGAACAATAATGCCGAAATGACAAGGGCAAGACTCCCCCTCCTGGGCAACTCGCTTGGTCACGTCCGCTCCTTAGGGTACGTTGTCCAGCACCCCCACAAGGGTTCGAGTCTTAGGGTTTACGTGCCCGGGGGATGGGGCCTCTCCTCTCAGGCCGCAGGGGATTAGTCGGGCCAAAGGCCCGAATACCCCCTGCGTCCGGAAAAAAAAAAGACAAGGGCAAGACTCAAATATGGTGACAACATATATCACTTGACTATGGCATTAAAATAACTTCACAAGGTTCTTTCAGGCAAAAAACCAAACAGATAGCGTGCGTACATTATCAAAATGCATATTTAACAACCCCAAAATGCTAGAAAAACATAAATACAAGCCATAAATTCGGACCTGTATTACAGTAATTCCGAAATTATGCTTATATTTCCGAAAAATCAAATTCCAGTAAGGACTGGGCACAGTCCTATGCACCTTGGCTTTGATAGCATTCAACCATTTCTGTAAATTTCCATGATCCCCACGCATTACCGCTGTCAAGAACACAACAAAAAATCAAAATAAAAAATAAACCCGTTAAAAAGTTATTGAAGCCCTTTGTCATACTCTACATTACCACACCAAAAAATTTAAAAAAAAAATAAAATTCTTGAATTTATGAACAGGGTTTTGTTCTGCAAACTTACCCGGGAAGTTGGCATGGTAGAGGTACGAGTAAGGAGATTTAACGGAGGAGAGAGAACCCCTAAGAATCGGCTGCATTAGGAATCTTGCTGTATACATTTCTGCTTCTGCCTAGTTAACCAGTAATATCAATCCTAGTGCAAGAATTTCGATTCTTCGGCCAGTCTCCGCCGTGGACAGAGAGCTTTTCCTGCGCGCCGCGCGGCTCAACTTATTTGCCGCTTAAAAGGATTATTTCATTTCGGGATTTTTTTGTTTAATTTTATTTGCTGTGGTTTTTTGGCCTACCTCAAGCAGACTTGGGGAGTCTGTGCTTCTTGTAACTTTCCTCAACCCAAATGATGAAGGCGTGGGCATAGGTCCACGTATTGGAGCAGCATCTTTGGAAGGCGTGCTACATTTGACCAGGTTCTTGGAGGCGGCGCACTTGCCAGTGTAATCACTTACGCCTTTGTGTTGTGCCACTTCGAAGTGGAGGGCTTCCTTATTATAAGAAATAAATTTCTATTATTTCCGGAAAAAAAAAAAAGAAGAAGAGGAGGGCTTCGATGGAAATTGAATGGGAAAATCCATTTTTCATCCTCAAACTTTGTGACTAAGACAGCATTTGGTCCCCAAACTTTTTGACCAGACACATTAAGTACATGTATTAACTATTTTTTGCCACATTTAGTCAAAAAACGGAAAAATTTTTCAATTTGGACGGTGAAACCCACGTGGCCGTTAACTTATGCATCGGGAATCAATGCAAGTCAGACTAAAGTCCACACATTCTCTCTCTAATGCAAGTCGACACAAAATGTTGACTAAAAGTACACTCAAAGTCTAAGGTGGAGCTCCTTTTCCTCTCCAAGTTTATCTCTTTCCCACCCGAGCTTGTGGAGTGAAAAGCTGCGTGAGATTAGCAGAGGTAGGGGAGTGATTCAACGAAGCTTTTCTAATCCAGTAGAATGGAGTGATCCACCATATCAAGCAACTCCTTTTCATCTTCAATTCGTACTTGTCAGCAAAAATGAGGTCACGAAGCTCAGAATCGTCAATTTCGTCAATCGCAGTACCCATGTGTGTGGGTGTGGATTAAAACCCAAATTGGCAACTTCTTGGCGGGATGATAATCCTGGAAAAGATTCTACGGTTGTCCAAGATGGCCGGTAAGCGTAGTCTAATTTTTTGTATGTAAAGTCTAGAAATGCCCTTATCCTGTGTGCGTGTGTTTCTTTGCTCTGTTGAAAGTGTAGAAATGCCCTTACTGTAACAATATGTTGTATTTGCAGAGGCCAGATAGGTGCAAATATTTTGAATGGCTTGATGAACCAATCTGTGCAAGAGGAAGGAGCATAATACCAGGTTTGCTGAGAAGGATAAATAAGATGGAGGAAACAATTGAAAAAGGCCGAAGAAGGGAAAAATTTATGATTTGTATTATCTTGATGTTGGCCATGCTACTTATGATCTCTGTTGCTGGGAAAAATAGGGGACATGCAAGAGAAGGAAAATTGGTACTAAGCTTGAATGAGTTACCGAATCTGGGGGTGATAACTGTGGTTCGTTCCTTTCATGGGCAGAACTTTGACTGAATTTGTAAATGTAGAAATAGGATGCTTTCATGGGGCATGCCTTTCCTAAAATCTGCACTATCATATGTTTCATGGGGCATGCTTTGTAAACGTAGAAAGCATGCTTTCATGGGGCAGAACTTTGACTGAAGTTGTAATAAAATCTGCAATCCCATCTGTTTAGTATATATTCTTTATTTCATGCTTTTCCTATTATTAATTGCGTGAAATGGTTGTTGTGCATCTTCATATATGAGATTGTGTGATATGAAGATTGTGTTATCTCCTCAGTGCTTTTTCTACTTAATGGTGTAGGAAAAGAATGAGTTTTTGTTTTCTTTTTTTTTTACTTGTTCATTCCAAAACTTTGTCTCATAATCAACTTGAAACGTAATTTTTGAGGGATATCAGTCCATGAACATGAACCTTTAGAAACAATAAATATAGTGATCACAAGAACTACCAAAAAGAGAGCTACATGAGATCAATAAACAAAAAGATGTAAGAATTACCCTGTGAAGAGCTCATTGTAAAAAAAAAAAAAAACTGCAGACCTCAGAACTCATCATTTAGGAGCTCCACCCTTAGACTTTGAGTGTTTTAGTCAACATTTTGTGTCGACTTGCATTAGAGAGAGAATGTGTGGACTTTAGTCTGACTTGCATTGATTCCCGATGCATAAGTTAACGGCCACGTGGGTTTCACCGTCCAAATTGAAAATTTTCCCGTTTTTTGACTAAATGTGGCAAAAAATAGTTAATACATATACTCAATGTGTCTGGTCAAAAAGTTTGGGGACCAAATGTGTCTTAGTCACAAAGTTTGAGGATGAAAAATGGATTTTTCCCGAAATTGAATTGTTAATGAATTTCGTTCCATTTTAACACATCATCGTAAACTTATTGCTTCAAAAATTAAAAAGGAAAAAAAAAAAAGAAGAAAAAGAAGAAATCTGTCTAGGGTGAATTGAAAGCAATTTTATGCTGGACACTCTTTTTGGTGCATTTATGGAACGAGGTGGATTCTAAGTGCATTTAATTTTTGATTTATGGGAATGGGCCAGGACAATTCAAGCTTGACCTGCTCGGCATGAGAAAAATCCAATAAACCTAATCTTTTATTTTAGAGTCAAATTAAATGTAAGCCGAATTTGAGCCTCATTGGGCTCAAACTATATATAAAATTGGCCTTTTAATCTATATATATATATATATATATAATTATATATCTAAATATATAATACTAATACTTGTGAGTCATGCGTTAAAATATATTAATATATATAAGAAATATTAAATATACAAAATTATGTCAAGAAATTCAGAAGAACAAATCTTAATTTGAGCAAATTGAGGACTTTTGGAGATGTATTAAATGTTAATCATGTTTTATTTTTATTTATCATGTACTTTGAACTAATTGAACATATTATTGTTGAAAAATTTTTGATTTATATACTTGTTAATAAATTGTTACTGGTTCATGTATAGTTTCAATGTTATGATTCTGTAGATGTTAAATTAGTTTTAGAACTTAATAATTATAGTAATTATATTAAGAAAATTAAATAGCAATAAGTGAACTTGGACTAAGTTAATCCGTCATGGTTTGCCGACACAAATTTTGTTTCTTGTTAATAAGACTAATTTAGGCCTGGTTTTGCGCGTTGGGCCATTGCAGTACAATGAAACACCTCAACGAGCATTGCCAAATGCCAATGCCAGCAAAGAATGGATTAGAGGCCTCTCCAATAGCGATAATGTTATAGTTTCACGTGTCTACCAAAATAGCAAATATCCTTATACTATAATATTAAGCTAGTTTTATTTTAAATTTTTCTTTAAATTTTGACCACCTTCTTGTGGGCAAGATAATCTTTTAGATAAGAGTCAATACAAATGTAAAATTAAGCGTGCGTTTGATAAAGGTGAAGCTTGAAAACTGAAATCTGAAATTTGAATTCATTAAAATATTGAATTGTTAAGTATTAAATCTAATAGATTTGAGTATATATCACATTCAGTGATAAGTGAATAACTTATCACTTAATTTTGAGATCAAATTTTGTTTTCGAAAATTCAGTGCAACTTAATTAATTTAAATGTTTAATTTTTTATTATTAAAGGTGTCTGACCATATCAAATTCGAAATCCATTAAATTTAAGTGCTGAACTGACCTGAGTACGAGTTATCAAACAAGACCTAAGTACGAGTATAATTACTCTTTTGTTCTTATTTAGTGTGAATTGGTCTTTTCTTCACGTAGGATGATATCAATTGTTCTTAGGCTATTGTCTTAACTGTTCCAAGTGTCAAGTGTCTAGTAGAAAAATAGTACAAAATTGATTAAATTGCTTTCCCTGTTGATAAAAACATCTTTTCAAAAAGCGACAATCCTTTCAAGGTGGACGGAGTAATATATTACTTTTATTATTGTATAGTCTAATAAAGTGACCTATATATATATATATATATATATATATATATATATATATATATATATATATATATATATACACGCGCGCGCACTTGGTTAATGTATTGAATTAAAAATTAAATTCCTTCTATAAAAAAAGTAAAATAAAGTATTAAGTATTTTGATCCATCATTGATCAATTGAGAAAGTGGAAAAGATTATAAGTAGGAGGTTTTGAATTTAAAGTCTCCCACTTACAAAAAAAAAAAAAAAAAAAAAAGAAGATCAAATTTAAAATGAGTTTTTGGATAAGAAACATGAATTTATATAACAATTGAAATTCCTAAATGATTTAGAGCTAAAATATAGTTTCAAAAAAGTAAAATGGCAAAAAATAATGATGCACAAAAGTAGGTACACATGGAAACTCAAAAGAATTAAAGAAGTTAAAGCAAAAAGATGTATATTACTACGAAAACATACGCAGCTGTCCATCTTACATCAAATGTCCAGACAACTAAGACCACTTGATTGCATTAAACAACTAGGCATAAATGTTCAAGCCAAGAACCGAACTGGTTTAATAAAAACCGTTCCAATTCATCAGATGAACAGTCCAATACCGGACGAGTTAACCATTTTACTACAACATTTAAAGCGGTTTTTTGAACCTTTCCTGGGTTGGACGGCAACTAGCTCGAACAGCAACTAGATTGATGGATCAACCGGTTCGGTTGAGCAGCTCAAGCTGAGTTTTAAAACTCTGCTTCTTACCATTATTAGATATTGATAGAACGATTCCTACAGTCGTTGCTGTATTAAACTTTAACAAGCTATGCGTTTCAATAATTATTGGATTGACTGTGACAAGTGAAGGCAAATTTGGATTCGCCAACCTCAAAGTGACACAGAAATCAATGGATACGTGGTGCCAAAAAATGCTGATATACTGGTTAACTTGTGGGTTGGCGAATCCAAATTTGCCTTCACTTGTCACAGTCAATCCAATAATTATTGAAACGCATAGCTTGTTAAAGTTTAATACAGCAACAACTGTAGAAATCGTTCTATCAATATCTAATAATAGTAAGAAGCAGAGTTTTATAACTTAGCTCGGGCTGCTCAATCGAATTGGTTGAACCGTCAATCTAGTTGCTGTTCGAGCTGGTTGACGTCCAACCCTGGAAAAGTTCAAAAAACCGCTTTAAATGTTGTAGTAAAATAGTTAACTCGTCCGGTATTGGACTGTTCATCTGATGAATTGGAGCGGTTTTTATTAAACCAGTTCGGTTCTTGACTTGAACATTTATGCCACGTATCCATTGATTTCTGTGTCACTTTGAGGTTGGCGAATTAGGAATGGGGAAGGAGGGCGAAGACGAAAGGTTTCTTTAATGACGCGACTGCAAGTAAGGGAGATTTGATATATCTGATTCTTTAACCAGCTTGTTTTGTCCAATAACTTTCCTGATCTCGTCCCTAGCTTTTGTTTTATTTTCAGGGTTGCGTAGTAACTCTGCCATTGTCCACTCCACGCTGACTGAACTTGTTTCTGTCCCTCCGAGGAGTAAATCCTAAAATACAGTGGAGTTGGAATCAAATTATGGTCATCAGGTGATTTTTCCTTTTTTTTTTTTCCTTTTCATAATTCAGGAGTTATATATTAGCACCCGTTATATAAAGTATGTATTGAATGGATAGGTACATTAATATTACTCACCATAATCAAATGTTTCATGTCCTCGTAGCTCCATACAGGTCCATTTTGCTGATTAACATCAAGGAGGGTTTCCAAGAAATCACTTTTCCGTAGATAAGTGATGGATGTGTCTCTTTCTTGTGATCTCTGACGAATGACACCATCCATAATATCAAACAACTTTCCATAATGTACCTTGGCTCTGCGCCTTACGCCCTGCGGATCAATTGCTTTGAGGATGGGAAAGTAGTCCACGAGAGTAGGACAAGTAATAATTTTGGCCGCGTTCCATACCATTTCTTTCATCTCTTGAGACGAATAGGAGTTAGATATAGAATCGGATTGTGCAAAATCAACATCAAGTCGAGAGATGTTGAGAAGGCAGCTTCACCAATATTTATGGCCTGTCCATTAAGACAGTGTTGGCGTACATAATTGCACAGTTGCTGCACCTTTTGTTGGCGGAGCCCTTGACTAGCATTGCGCCTTTCTGATGAAAAGATATGCTCTTTGCATAGTTTGCGAAGATTGCGCCACTGGCTTTGTGGTGGTAACCAGACAATTGAGACCTTATGGTGGTCCAATGCTGTGACTCCATCTACGATTCTTCAGCCTGAGAACTCTAGATCATGCTTATGAAGCATTTCCTTGGCAATTTCTGGTGATGATACAACTATTATTCTTCTACTTCCGACTTTAATTGAAATCAAAGGTCCATAAGTTTGAGAAAGTTTTGTAACTGATCTGTGCAAGAGTCCACTGATTTGCAGCAAGTTACCAATGACTGGCAACGGGTATAGCCCTGAAGGAGCTTCTTGGACTTTTGGTCATTAGAATTCGATATGAGGAGAAAGTGGATACAATACCAAATAACAGAAAACAGCGGTATAAGTAGCCAAAAGGGAAGGGTGTTTGGAGCATCCATAATTTCACTGCACCTATACAAAAAGGATTGCTTGTGTGATAGGAATAGCAGTGTGATCAGTGATGTTTTGGATTCTGGGAATGAACTGAAGAAAGTGGATGCTATATATAGGCGCAATGGCCAGAGGAATTAGTACTAAATGCATGAGGCATCCAATACAAGTCTAAATAGAACTTTCGATGAATCAAGGGGAGGGTTTCTCCCAAAATCATGTGCCTTTTTCCAAGGTTACACGGCCACCAAAATTTATTGCATAGATACATGAGGGGTCCCTAGTTCTTGAATATGTAACTGAAGAAAAAAGAATTAGCGTCATGATTGGTCCCAAAAAAAAAAATTTTTTTGTAAAGTCCAAAATCGCGTCATTGTTAATGCCATGTGTAAAGTCCACAAAAAATTCATTCTATTTAGTTATATATTCAAAGTAGCTTACATTTCGTTTAAGCATTCTTCTCATTCTATTTAGTTATATATTCAAAGTAGCTTACGTTTAAGCGTTCTTCTGTTCTAATGGGTGCATATTTATATATTTTTTCTATTTAATCTTGCATATTTTTCTTATATTTATTTATTTTCTTTAAATAGTCTTATATTTTTAAAATATAACACCTGAAATATATTTTAACGAGTACCTATAGGGCATCGTTAGACGGACCATTTGTTTAAATAAAAAAAAGGCACTAGACTGTTTTGAGCTCCATAGAAGAGGGAATAGAGGCTGCTGACTTTTTTTTTGGTAACCCGGAACATGCCCTGACCCGACCCCTTAGAACCCGAGCCGGCACACCAAACCGGAAGGAAGCCGACGGCCCGATACAGATTTCCCGTGCGAGTCAGGATATGCGACGCAGCGGGCACAAATCGAACCCTAGTCAGTAGGAAAACCAGCAACATAACGCCGACCCCTCAACCACTGCATCATATGCCCTGGGGGCGAGGCTGCTGACTTTTGCTAATGTTTGTTGTCCCCTATAATTCTAGTGTGGGCTAGAATATTTTCTAAGAGCTCTACTCCAATTTATTTTATGACAAAGACTATCACATTATTCAAATCCGTAAACGTGGTAAGGCTAGGTTTCGGCACTGCATTTAGAACCAAGTCCTAGATAACGTCCCCAACCTGAACCAATAGCAATTGCCTGCTTTAACGTAGGGCGGGCAAAAGCTGGTAAGCGTCATTTCTTGAATTTAGGAATAGGGCTTTGATCAATAAAGCACATTTGACATTAAGTTTAAAATTGGTGCTTTTAGAGTAATTTTTATATTTTAAAGAATAAAAAAATTTAACTTTAACAATATTATTATAAATTTTGAACTAAATGAAGAGATAACTGTATTTAGAAATTCAAAATTACACGTTCAAATTAAAAAAAAAGTACTTATAAAAGTATATACCCAAACAGTACGATTAAACACTTAATAAGTAATTTGATAAAAGCTCTTTTAATTAAGTGTTTTTTAATAAGCGACCGCAACTCCGTACCGGCTGAATTTAAATCCTGAAACAATAGCCGAGTAGAACCAAGTCCTTGGTAAGCTGCCCAACCTAAACAGCACTATTTACCTTTTTTTTAAAATTTTTGGCACAACACTATTTACTCTTCTTTTTTTTTTTTTTAAGTTCTGAAAAAATAGCCGAGTTTATACTTAGAACAAGATCAGAATAGTAGCGTTTCAAAGTTAACCAAAAATACTGCAAACAAGGACCTTTTTTTTTTGGTTAACATCTTACTAGCATTGTTAATGATTCTACTGTCCCAACTAAACATACAAGCTTCAAATCCTTTGCACTGCAGGTACCATTACCAATCTCCCAGCTTTCTTCTTTCAAAAACTAGTTTGGCAGTACGTGATTTGCACATCGCATATCTCATTTTTTGTGACTGTTAATAGCTTTTCTTTTTTTTAAAAAAAGCTAAAGCGAATGACTTTTTATATGTCGCGGTAATATGTATTTTCTTAAAGATATAACATTTTTTATATATTAAATTTCTTTGCTAAATATTGATTGTTAATATAATATATTCTAAAAAACTATGACTAACAAAATTTAGTAATTGCTAGTCATACACAATGTACATTGCATATAAAAAAAATTAAACAGTTATCATACATTCTGCCATATAAAAACTTTGAAGAAGGAAGTTTAGCTAAGTTATTGTTTATTTTACTGGAGTTGTAGTAGAGAGGAGAGAAAATTTTCTAAAATTTACGAAACTAGTGCATAAATCAAAGTTAGTAAAAATATTTACTAAAGAATGCTCATTTTTAGCTATTGAAAAAGAGATCCTGAACTAACCCCTTCTTCTAACTTGAAATGGAATCAATTCAAAGTACTGGCATCCAAGATCAATGCAAAAGTTTAAGAATCTTTTAGGACTAAACTCATATATTTTCATAGAAAGCTGAAATGGAGTCAAAACAATACCTTAATACTCTTTGGAAACACTCTCAAGTATATCCAAGTTGAAGTTTTGAATCCAAATCTTCATTTGCTTAAGAACCAATTTACAATTCCAATGTAGCAATATTTCTCTTTGTAATTGAGGTTTCGTTCTCAAGTAACTTGAAAAAATATCCTTTTTGTAACTTTATTCTCAACAAATCTTGATTTAAGCCATTTTATGGGGCATGAATGTATCAATTAATGATTAATAGCACCACTTTATTGCCCCATTTCCACATTGAGGAGTTATAACAATAATGAAAATTAATTGACTGTTTTTAGATTGAAGCATTATATTAGATTGATTATGAGGATTGATTTTTTTTTTATTTTGGTAACAACTATTACCCTCCCATGTTTTTAACATAAAAAAGCAAGCTTTCACACCTCACAGCAATAAAGTTTCATCAACAAAAATTAAGCAATGATTCCTTCTTTCCTACCAATGCATTCCTTAAAAGACTAATTTTTAAATCAAAATTTTGGACAATTTTGAGAAAAACTTTTCTGAGCAATATTTTGGTGACTTTTTATAGTTTAAGGCATTAAGAAGCAAGAATAATGGGAGAAAATGTGCATTAATATAAGCACAATTTTGAAAGGTTAACTATAGTTAAAATTTGGATACAATAAATATTTATCAGCTTTAGTACTTGTAGAAGTTTTGTCTTAGGATTTTTTGAAATATTCTCGCCATTTGTTTTGTTTTAATCAATATGTTAATAATAAAGTGAACTTAATTGTCAATTTAACCTTTTGTCTTCTCATTAACATTTTTAAACCAACATATATGACATAATGACTTTAATCATCATTAAACAACAAGGGCATAATATGAACTTGCAATCATCATCAATTACTAAGGGCATAATGGGAATAAGAAAAACTAAGACAACAATAATGCTTACACTCAAAATACCAATACTGGTAATGGATAAATAGATGGATAGATAGATAGATATACGACTATGTAAAGATAGATAATAGATATACGAGTATGCAAATTGCTCATGATCTTGTCATAAAGCTTTTCCAAGTCAATAAAGGTTTGTTTTTCCTTGCATGCTGTTGTTTTGTCCTAAGAGCATGTATATTTTGGTTGGCTATTTAATATTTTGCCATTGCTTTGAGCAAGAAATTTTAAACACATGAAATAATTGAAGATAAGTGTAAAAGTTGATAAATAGTTTTAAATGAGAAGAATGTTCATCTTAATCTTAATTAGTAACATTATTGAAACAGTTGGTAGCATTTCAGTTTTTATTCTAATTATTAACATTATTGAGTTAATTTATAACGTTTCATTCATTTCATTACAACCATAACTAAAATAAAATAATTCTAAGTATTTGACAAAAGGGTACTTTTTGGTCCAACTAAAAACTAAGGCAAAAAATGAGGGTATTTTTTTTGTCATAGTAAAAATTAAAACAAATAATTTAATGCTTACACCTAACTTGTTTACGTTCCACTTGCCTAGACTCTTCACACTTTTATAAGGAGTACAGATATAGATATAGATATAGATATAGATAAATAGATATTTGTTCTTGAATGTTAGGTTGGGAGAGCAGAAATTAGAAATCCTACGTTCAAATCTCCTTACTGCCTCTCTTTTTCCTAAGTCCCACCTCTCTCTTGTTGAAAAAAAAAAATTTAAGAAAAAAAAAGAATGTTAGGTAAAGCTTACCTCTTTTGGTACTTTCTTCCAATTTTTGGTATCCATTTATTTTTTAAGGCATTATTGTTGAGCATGACAGTCAGCAAGTCCATTAGTTATCCATATTGAAACATAGCATAATAAAATCCTCTAAAAAAAAATCAAACTTTAAATAAATCAAATATTCGTCCAATGGTCAGGTCAGATTCTAACCACAAAGAAATAGAATGCACACTATTGTTGCTAATTCAGTGATATTTAATTTAATTATATATAATTATAACTAAATTCAGCTAATAGTTTTTTTTCTATCTATGTAGGTTATTATATTTATGCAGCTAGAATCGGCTAAAAGTTTTCTTCCTTTACTCCTCCTATAAGCCTCTTGCTTTTATTGCGGATGAATCTTTTTTTTGTTTCTCAGTAAAAGGAGTTCCAAAGTTATACTAAACCACTAAGTTAACTTCACTAATCAACATGGAGGTTAAGGCACGTAGCAAATGTATTACAGTCACATAGAAGTTATAACATTAAGGGTCCGTTTGTTTCGAGTGAAAATATTTTCCT